TTTTGGCAATAGCCAATAAATGCCTTAATCTGGCACACTTTCCTAAGAAATGGAAAGAAGCGGTTGTAGTGGTGCTGCGAAAGCCTGGGAAAGAGAACTACACGCATCCCAAATCCTACAGACCTATTGGACTGCTGCCTGTGCTCGGGAAAATCTTCGAGAAAATGTTAATCCAACGAATAAAATGGCACATTGTACCCACACTTAGCCGGAGACAGTACGGATTTATGCCACAGCGTAGCACCGAAGACTCCCTCTATGACATGATACAGCTAGTAAAAACCAAGCTTGAAGACAAAAAGATAGTATTATTAATATCCTTGGACATAGAGGGAGCCTTCGATAACGCATGGTGGCCTGCAATCAGATGCAGATTGGCAGAAACTGGTTGCCCAATTAACTTACGACGTCTCATTGACAATTATTTCGAGGATAGAACCGTTTGCATTAGGTACGCAGGAGCAGAACACACGAAAGCCACTGCTAAGGGGTGCGTGCAGGGCTCAATAGGGGGTCCTATATTTTGGAACCTGTTGATCGACCCTCTTTTACATGAACTGACCGAAAAAGGGGAATATTGCCTGGCCTTCGCAGTCTCCGGGGACAGGGCATCTGAAGTGCAGGAACGGGCCAACGCTGCCCTCGCGCATGTTCAGAGGTGGGGAGTAAAAAATAAGCTCAAATTTGCACCAAATAAGACCAAAGCGATGGTGATAACAAAAAAGATAAAATATGACTCACCACTTCTGAGGATGGGCGGGGTAAATATTGCGTTGTCCACAGAAATAAAAATATTAGGACTAACCATAGACGCCAAGTTGACCTTCAACACACACGTAAAAAATGTGTGTTGCAAGGTACAACGTTTGTATTGCCAATTAACAAGAGCTGCCAAGATTGGTTGGGGCCTGAACCCGGAGATCATTAGGACCATCTATGTAGCGGTAACGGAGCCGATCATATTATATGCCGCTAGTGCATGGGCAGCGGCCACACACAAACAGAGTGTCAAAAAGCAGCTCGACATGGCACAACGCGGGTTTATTCAAAAGATCGTAAAATCATATAAAACCGTATCCCTCCACTCGGCCCTACTACTCGCTGGGTTGCTTCCTTTGGACCTCAGGATTCGGGAAGCAGACTTACTTTATGAAGTGAAGAAAGGTTACTCCCGGCGAATAGTGGGAGACCGGGAAGTGGAACGGAAACTAGAATACGCGAAGACACCTCACCCCGCGAATCAGGTTGGGCTGCAGTTTGTATGCCTGGAGGATAGTGCACAAGTCGACGAACACAACAATATGGGTCTAAAAATCTACACAGACGGGAGTAGAATTGAGGGGAAAGTCGGCGCCGCGTTATCCATTTGGAATGACGCGGCGGAGATAAGTAGCCAAAAATTCAAACTAGAAGACTTCTGCACTGTCTACCAGGCGGAGTTGCTGGCCATATATGAAGCAACAAATTATGCCCTAAAAAATCTGGCACCGAGCTGCAATATCTATAGCGACTCAAGATCGGCTCTCCAGACAGTTATCCAGAGCGTTTCCCTCCATCCCCTAGCGGCAAAAATTAGAAGAAATATTTCGGAAATAAATAAAAAAGGAAAATTGTTAAAATTGTTTTGGATAAAGGCACACGCAGGGCTGGAGGGAAACGAGAGAGCAGATGAGTTAGCAAAGGAAGCCGCCCTAAAATTAAAACGAAAACCGGACTATGATAGGGGCCCGGTTTCATTCGTCAAGCGAGAAATCCGCCTTAATTCGCTTGACGAATGGAACCGACGTTACGTGGAAGGCGAAACCGCCTCCGTAACAAAAGTGTTTTTCCCAGACGCCTTAAGCGCCTATCCTATAATAAGGAAAATATACATGGACTCGCTAACGGTGCAAGTGATGACAGGACATGGCGGGTTCTCAGAATATCTGCATCGATTCAAATGTAAAGAGAGCCCGGCATGTGTCTGTGATCCGATGAAGCAAGAAAGTGTAATACATATTATTACAGAATGTCCTGTCTATAGCAAACACAGAAATGACATAGAAATAGAACTAGCAATAAAAATTAGTAAAGAAAATATATGTAAAATAATAAGAAATAAATATATTAGAAGTAGGTTCCTAAAGTACTGTAAAACTATAGCTAATAAGGTGATACAAAAGAATAAATAAGAGTATAAAAAGGGAAACTGTAAATTATATATAGGTATATAATGTAAACAGCCCCGTAAAAACAGTAAAAATAAAAATAGTTTAAGTTATAGTAACAAATATAAAAAGTAATATATAAATAACAATGTAAGATATATTAAAATAGAAATAAGAACCGCATCAGAAACTAACAGCTAAAGATAAATCTAAGAATAAAAGTAGATTAAGATATAGTAATAAAGATGAATGTAGTAATGTAAGACACGTGTAACCTAAATTTAAGAACTGTAATAGAATGTAAGTCAAAAAGAAGTAAAAAAGAAAAAAGCAAAAAGATAAAATAAAAAATTAGAAAAGATATAAATAAAGAAATAAAAATAAAAAGATGGAAAAGGTCCCTGATCTCCATGTTAGGGGGGAACTAGAAAAAAAAAAAAAAAAAAAAAAAAAAAAAAAAACCTAACCTAACCTAACCCACACAGTTCGAGTCCGTCCGCCGTACCGAAAGCATCGTTGTAATTGAGCTCCGCGTTCAAAAATTCGGAAAAGTGGGTTGAAATTGTGCTATTGTGCTGTGTTATATACCAAAGTGTGCGGAAAAGTGTAGGCTTTGATCTGTGTATAGTGTTCGCAAGTACAGGATTTTGCCTGAGTGAAATTTGGTGGAAAAACTACAAATAACCTCAAAAACAGATAAAATTTTAACATATATCTGCGAACGCTGCAAAATCTAGATCAGCAACCTATTAACTTTTTTAGCGCACCATTCGGCATTTCATTAGCTTCACATTTTGCAATTTGTTCCGGATTTTTTCCTTAAAAAATCACGGAGTTATAACGATTTTTCTCAAAAAATCACGTGGCACGTGGTTTGAGAAATAATTACGTTCGGATAATTTATATAGTGGTTTTGGATGCGGTGCATAAGGCACTTTCAGACGACACCTCATTTGCTTAGATCGGTTGATCCTTGCTCTTTTTATTGACGGAAAACCTCTTTTATTAAAAAATTGTTATGTTTAAACTTTTATAAATTTAAAAATAAATCGATAACATATAATTTTTATTTTTTATTTATTTAAAGGATATTAAAGAGTACCTTTGTGGAAAATTTCAGATTTTTTCGTCTTGAAATTACAGAGATATACCATTTTATCTCAAATTACGCTTACACGTGCTCCCACTTCTGGGCCTTTGCGGCTTCTTTAGAATCAATTTAAAAATAGACCTAAAAAGCCTAAAACTATTGGCATTTTTAGAATTCAATTATTCCTGATAGTTTTTGAGATATACATTTTTTCGTATATTTTATATGATTTCGGTTCACAACTTGCAAATAATTAATTATTTTATTTGATGCTTAATAGGTTCGTAATACCGTTGCCCAGAGCTATCTAAAGAGTCCAAACACGACTTTGTTACCTTTCACCGTTCCAAAGTTAGAGAAATTGATCTTAATTGGCCGCCATATTGGAAATCGGTTTTGTTGAATTTCTCGCGAACCAGTTGAGCGGGGAGGGTCGTGTTTGGCCTTATTTTGATCAGAGCAGCCTGACGGAGCTAAAACTCTTGCCAGATAGCACCTGATCAGTAGGTGGCTGTGACTAAGTGGAACGCATAGCTCATCTCATTTCCCACGAATTAAGCTCAAGCACGAAGCATTTTGATCCACAAAATACCGATCTAGAGCAAAAACAAAGTTACGGGCGGCCATATTGGAAAAAATTTAAACCGTCATAACTTCGGCACTATTCAACCAAAACCGGTCGTGTTTGGGTTTAAACAACTTGGCTTGAGACCGGCTTTCTATTTCTGTACAAGTTATACCGATAGCACTTTTCTTAAGAATAAACATAAATAATGTCCAGTAAGTCAACCGCATCAGTTACGGGCTCAATCAAATCAAGGGCATCTAAAACGAGCAGGGCTGCAAGTCCAACTCTCAGTACGACTCTACGTAAAAAAGTACTCATACAGAATGCTGCCACGTCTAACAAAGCAACAGAGGATATTCCAACCAGCAGAGGTTACTCCATCAGCGAACCGTGCCCTGAAACAGTAAGCCTTATAGGAATCAGCAAGGAAACCCAGAGCGTTAATGACCCAATGAAACCCGAAAAACCGACAGCAGTTGACTCTCATAACATCACAACTGAAATGGGACAGGAAGCAGATTCTGAAAACCGAAGCTCATTAACGTTAGACATGGAAGCCGAATTGGAGGTTTTAGGGAAATGTAAACCATTCCAACGTACTGATGATGAATGGTCTGACGCAGATAGTGCAACCAGCCTTAACAGCAGGAGATCCAGTATATTGCCACCCGCTTACAAGCGGGCCGATATATCTATGGATCTAGCTACTCAACGAGCTAATGACTTCCTGCTCTCAGGCAAGGAAGCACTTGAAAAAGCCGGAAATATGAAACGCGACTGCAAAGTAGAAGTACACATCTGCTTGCAGGGATTGTATCAAACCGTGCTCTCGTTATCTGATTCTCGCTCGCGGCATCGCCTTGGATTGGAGCAGGAACGATGCCGATCTGCAAAGGAATTGGTAAGAATTGAGCGTGCTCATAACAAGCAGCTGACAGAAATTCACTCCCAAATTGTAAATAAGCTGGTAGAATCCCTTGAAGAAATTCGCAATACAGGTAAATCTGTGGAAGCTATACGCAGCTGGTTGAGTTACGAGATGGACGAGCCTATAAAAGCCATAAGTAAAATTCAACTAGAAGTGCAGGGACTCGTCACAAAGGCATTACCGCATCCAGCACCTGAGACAATAATTTCAGTAACTGCGCAGAAGCAATCAGAGTTAGCAACAAAACTGTCGCTACAGGTAAAAGAAATGACACAACAAATCAGTCTCTTAACCCAGATGATTGAAGAATTTATCGTAATTCATAAGGAGACAGGAAAGAAAACACCAGTCCCAGAGCTCATACAAACAGACACTAATACTGTCATCACAGAGATACAGGAGTTGAAACAAATGATTTCGGAAACCAAAGCAACACCAACCTGTATCACCACAACAATAAATGAACAAAGTGAGGACGTTAAAAAAGTCTTAGAACCGATCACCATCACCATGAAAACTATGATGAAGGATATAAATGAAATGAAAGAATTCAACACAAATCAGCTAGCTTTCCAAAGCAATTCAGGCTTGGGAGCAGAATTGGCAATCGCGGAAATTAAGGATAAGATTGATGAACTAAGGAACTACCCCTGCGCTCCACCAATGGGAAGGGAAACTAACGTACGGGTAGCCGCATCACCATATAAGCCACCGCAAAAGACCTATGCCAATGCTGTGAGCGCGCCCCGTTTTCCTATGATCCTTGAATCTATAGATCCCCGTCTGACCGGCGACGATATCGTGAAACAGGTAAAAAGGGGAGTTGATCCAGTGGAACTAGGAATTGGTGTCAACAAGATAACTAAACTCAAAAACCAAAGAGTAGTTATCAGCTGCGACACTCAAGAAGATAGGCAAACTTTAAGAACTGCAATTCGAGATTCGTGCACCAAACTATCTGTGTCTACACCTTCGAATAAAAATCCGCATTTAAGGTTAATAGGTATCACATCCGAACTCAGTGACCAAAAACTTATCAAAGCATTGGTGACACAAAATAGCAACTTGGTATCAGGAATAATAGAACCAGAGAAAACAGCCAAAGTACTCCGCAGAACGAAAGGAAGGGTCCGTGAACTAGTCAACGTTATACTAGAGGTAACACCACAAATGTGGATAAAATTAAAAGATCAAAGGCTGCGTATAGGTTATCAAGTAGTTCCATGCGTTGACCACTCTCCTCTTACCCAATGTTATAAGTGTCTGGGATTTAATCATTTAGCTAGGGATTGCCATAACCGACTGGTTTGCGGATACTGTTCCGAGGAGCATGATACCAGATTGTGCACGAATCGAAATCAAACACCAAAATGTAAAAACTGCAAAAATATACAAAAAGAATCCTTAAGCCATCCCGCTTACAGTTCTGAATGTCCGGAGTGGGCTAAATGGGACAGGATTGCAAGATCCTCGGTAAATTATTGTTAAGAGATAATTGATACTACAACAACCCCAGACAATAACAGAATAAAAATAGTTCAATACAACCTGGATCGTGGGCGTGCGGCAACACAAGAGTGTTTACGCGCAGCCACAATGCAGGGATTTTCAATAATACTGATGCAGGAGCCTTATGTCGGAGCTAAAGCCCACGTTACCCTAGGCTCGTACTACCGCGTTGTCCAAAAAGTTAGTCACGACAAAAATAAACCAGTCAGATCGGCAATCGTTATCTTAGATCCAAATATTAAGTACACTGTTAATCCAGACCTCATTACGGAAGATATTGTAACAATCACAATCAAAGTAGATTATAAGAGGATAGGTATAATTAATATTTACTTGCACGAGAAAGGAAATATTGATGAAGATGTTACCAAAATCAACCAATTTGCGTCGAGCATGGACGCAAGTGACTACATCATTGCAGGAGACGTCAACGCAAAAAGTGTCTGGTGGGGATGCGATGCTGACGATAAAAGGGGTTCTCAAATAATGGAGACAGTGGCTGAATTAAATCTAGAAATCCTCAATACTGACAGCAACCCAACATTTGCAGTTTATAGGATGGGCAAGCTTTGCTCCAGTATCATAGATATAACAGTGTGTTCAGCTTCTTTAATAAACAAGATCAAAAATTGGAGAGTTGATGAAACATTTAGCACTTTATCAAGCCATAAACCAATATTATATGAGCTTAATCCACAGAATTTTACACCACAAAAGACAATTACCAGCACGCGAAAGTTTGATACTAGGAAAGCGAACTGGGAAGTATTCAAACAAGAACTAACGACAGAATCAAGTAGCAACCAAATAAACAAGGAAATTATAGGACAAATTAAGACAACACAAGATTTGGACATAATGGTAGATAAATATACGCAATGCATTTCAGCGGCATGTTCTAAAGCAATCCCATTAATTAAACCGAAGAAAGCAAAGAAAGCAGCAATATGGTAGACTAAAGAACTTACACTTAAGAAAGAGGAGATGATTAGGATAAGACGAAGAATTCGGAACGCGCACCCTAAGAGATGAAATTTTGTCATAGATCTCTATCTCAAAGCAAGAGAAGAATATATCCACAGCATAGAAACAGCTGCAACACAAAGTTGGAAAGATCTTTGCAGTACCGAAGAGAAGGAAAACGTATGGCAACGGACGTACAGAATCCTGAAAGTGTGTTCTAACACCGAAGAAGAGAAGCTCCTACGTAAAAAGGACGGCACCATTCTCAACGAAAGGGAATCGGCCAATCTATTGGCCGAAACCTTTTTCCCGTGGGATAGCATCGAAACCGATACTGAAGAACAAGACAAACTAAGGAAGAACGTGCAGGAATTAATTAAAAAAATTGAAAATAACACTCCAGAAATACAGCCTTTTAAATTATTAGAAATCGAACATATATTTAACAACATGAGCCCGAAACAGGCACCAGGCGGAGATAGCTTAACTTCGGACATCTGCCAAGCAGCGTATAAAAATGATCCAGAAAGTGTCTTGAGTCTAATGAACCAATGTCTCAAGCTTGGCCATTTTCCAACAAAGTGGAAAATAGCAACAATTAAAGTTATACCAAAGCCAAATAAAGAAGATTATTCCACCCCCCAAAGCATATAGACCTATAGGTCTATTACCGATATTAGGAAAATTACTGGAGAAATTATTTGTTAACAGGATACAATGGCAACTCGGTCGTGAAAATAAGATGAACAATAGGCAATATGGGTTCACGCCACAACGGAGCACTGAAGATGCCCTTTATGATACTACCATAGCAATTAAAAATGGACTGTGCAAAAAGGAAATTGTCGTACTTGTGTCCCTGGACATTGAAGGTGCATTTGATAATGCCTGGTGGCCAGCAATTATCAAACAACTACATGACAAGCAAGCAGAACCATCTCTGCTTAAACTAATAACAAGCTACCTGGCCAACAGAGCAATCGATTTAAGATATGCTGGAAAAAAAGTTACGCGACCCACAAATAAGGGATGCATTCAGGGCTCTACTTGTGGACCGATACTATGGAACATCTTAATAGACTCCCTATTACAAGGAACAGAAGACCTACACACTCATGTACAAGCTTTCGCGGATGACATACACTTGGTAGGCACCAACAGCAATGGAGAACAACTAGAGAAGGATCTCAACTACACCCTAAAATTTATATCAGACTGGGGAAAACAGTACAAGCTAAAATTTGCACCGCACAAAACCCAAGCAATCGTAATAACCAAAAAACTTAAATACCATACCCCTAAATTATACATGGAAGGAATAGAGCTGAATTATACAGAACATCTTACAATATTAGGTCTTACAATTGATAAAAATTTTAATTTCAAACCACACTTAGACAACATTAGTCGCAAAGCAGTAAATCTTTATAAAATGGTATCTAAAGCGGCAAGAGCACAATGGGGACTCAATTCAGATATTGTCCGTACAATATATACAGCTGTAGTAGAACCAACGGTGTTGTATGCGGCGAGTTGCTGGGCGCATACTACGGAAAAAAGATACGTGGATCGGTTATTAAACAGGCTTACAAGACTCTTCAGCATAAGAATTTGTAAAGGCCATAAAACAAATTCTCTAGTATCGAGCACATTACTGGCTAAAATAATCCCTTTAGCACTCAGAGCCAGAGAAAATGCTGTTATGTATGAGATTAAACGTGGGAAACCCATAGACTCCTTACCGGGTAGACTTTTGGAGAAAAGAATAAGCCCATTCGACTTACCGCACCCCTCTGAAAGGAAGAAATATTATTTCGAATATATAAATTCTCAGCAAGATATCGATGAAAAAACCAACAACTGGATAGAAGTCTATACTGACGGAAGTAAACTCAATAATAAAGTGGGAGCTGCTGTCACCATCTGGAACAAGAAAACCGAAATAAAAAGTATTAACTTCAGACTTGAAAATTACTGCAGCGTCTACCAAGCCGAACTCGTGGCAATTTTGAGGGCATTAGAATACCTAATAGCGGAAAACCAACTGAAAGCAAATATTTTCAGCGACTCTAGGTCAGCTATAATGAGCATCAGTGACCCATCATCTTTGAATCCGATTGCTGCTGAAATCAGAAATAATATAAAAATAATCGAATTAAAAGGGGGCATTATAAGACTATACTGGATAAGAGCGCACACTGGAATAAGCGGAAACGAAAGAGCAGATGAATTGGCTAAGTACGCAGCTGTCAGAAACAAACAAAAGACCAGATACGATAGAGTCCCTTTGTCGTACGCAAAGCGCCTTACCAGACAAAATACCTTACATATGTGGCAGGCAAAATATGAAGAATGTACGGGTAGCGAAGTAACGAAGACCTTCTTCCCTAATATTGAAAAGGCCTATAAAGTATTAAAAACAATTAGAATGACTAATATATTAACTCAACTTTTCACAGGTCATGGTGGCAACAAAGCATACCTATATAGATTTAAGCTATCACCATCCCCATACTGCTGTTGCGATAACGAAAGTAAACAAACGATCGAGCATATTTTAATGAACTGTCCACGATTTGCACTTAAAAGATTCGAATGCGAGAGCAGTATGGGCTTGGTTATAAATAACAAATCTTTATCATTAATCGTCGAAGACAACAATTGCCGAACTGTATTTCTGGAATTTGCACTGAAAGTGCTAAAAATAATTAATAAAGGAAATGGTAGTAAGATAATAGATTAATATATTAATCATGTACCTATAGCGGTGTAATGATTATATAAACAATAGCAATAAAACATTAAAAATATGATATTTGTACAAATTTTAATAAAATTAGATTGATGGGCAATGAGAATGTTAAAGTAAGCTTAAAGAGCATAGTTTTTAACAATTGTTATTTAAAATAGGACTAGACTAGAATGAACGTAGATTATTTAAACAAGATACCAAAATAAGAACTAAGACCGAAAGAATATTTAGATTATTTATATAAGGTAAACAATTTTAAGCTCAAACAAAGTATTATGCATTGAATTGTAATTATAATTGGGATTAAAATAAGTGTAGACTAATAATATATAAGATATGAATATAATAATTTTAAAAAGTCGTTTTAAAATAATTTATAATTAAATTTTTATCAGTACATAACCATTAAAGAAATTATTATATAAAAAAAAAATACATTTAAATACAAAAAATATATATATACATTTAAAAAAAAAAAAAGTTGTTTAAAACAACAAAAGATTCACTGTAACAGAAAGAAGGGTACTGCATAATAGTAGTAGTAAAGTAAGCTTAATAAAAAAAAAAAAAAAAAAAAAAAACCAAACCTAACCTAACCTAACCTAACCTAACCTAACCTAACCTAACCTAACCTAACCTTTTTTTTTTTTTTTACGGGGGGGGAAATCCTCATGGACTGCCTCTGCCTGGGGACAGGCGGAGGGGTGTGCCGGACTCTTACCGGCTAAAACCACCCCGGTGTCACCTCGCACGTGCACGCGCGGAGCCGCGGGAATCCAAATTCTTCCGCAGCCCCACACTAGTGCTGGCCCGGTCTGTACGGGCCTCGTCTCCTGCACGGGGTAGTGAGGTGTTCAACTACCCCCTGTATCACCTCAGAGGCACGCGCCGACACCCACGCGTGCCTCCGCCTCGGGTCCATCGAATAGGGGGGGCGGGGGCTTCCCCTAGTCCCTCGCCCCTGGACTTATTCATGGGGGCTGGAAAAGGGCGTTGTCCGCCCTTCTCCTGCGCCCGGTGCGCCTTCTGCGGCCAGGGAAGGGAGTCGAGATCTCCCTCTCCCGTTCCGCAGTTTCCTTCTGCGACATCACGTCCTCACAGAAGGACACCACTGCATCCCACGATTCTGCGCTACCGACCATACTCCGCACCAAGGCCGACAGCGACAAATCGCCTCCTACTAGATTTGTGAGGACACGGCGCTGCTCCTCCCAAGCTACACACTCGGCGAGCGTGTGTTGCGCCGTGTCCTCCCCGCAATGGACGCAGTGGTGGCACCGAGCGTCCGGCTCCCTGTCTATGCGGCACAGGTACTTGCCAAAGCAGCCGTGCCCCGACAGCACCTGCGTCACCCTAAACGACAGAGAGCCGTGCCTTCTCCCGAGCCAGTCGTCGAGTACTGGCCGGATCGCCTCGACGATAGCGAGGCCGGCGGTAGAGCGCAGAAGCCTTTGCCGCCATTCCGCCACCAAGACCTGACGGAGCTCCTCTCGGCGCAGCGCGATCTGTCGCTGCACCGGCCTCGAGCCCCGTCCCCGCTCTTCCTCGCGCCATCGATATAGTGACGCGAGTACTTTTGCCTCTAGGTCCCAGGGCGGGGATCCGGCCAGGACGCAAGCCGCCTCGTAGGAAATCGTGCGATACCCGCGGGTGACTCTGACGGCCATCGCCCTCTGCGGTTTGCGCAGAATGGCGAGAGTGCTGGCCGTCATGTCCATCGCCCATACAGGGGCCCCATACAGGGCCATGGACCGCACGATTCCCACGTACAACCGCCTACAGGCAGCGCTCGGGCCCCCCAAAGTTGGGAAGCAGCGTTGAAAGTGCGCCAGCTGCACGCATCAGCTTGGGCGCCAGCCGCCGGAAGTGGGGCCCAAATTCCCATCGGCTGTCGAGCACCAATCCCAGGTACTTCATAGCCTAACCTAACCTAACCTAACCCACTTCTGAAGATGGGCCTGGAAAGCATTGGACTGTTCAAAGAAATAAAAATACTCGGCCTCACAGTAGACAGCAGGTTGACCTTCAACACGCACGTTAAGAATGTGTGCTGTAAGGTGCAAAACCTGTATCGTCAGCTGTGTAGAGCCGCAAAGGTTCATTGGGGCCTAAACTCCGCGATTATTAGGACTATATACATAGCGGTAGTAGAGCCGATTATATTGTACGCGGCAAGTGCTTGGGCACCAGCAGTAAATAAAAGAATGATTAAAAAACAATTTGACACGGTGCAACGCGGGTTCGTGCAAAAGATTATTAAGTCGTATAGAAAGAGGCTTTTCCCGGCGAGTGGTAGAAGATCGAGATATGGAGAGAAAAATAGAATTTATAAAGATACCACACCCCGCAGACGAATATGGCCTGCAATACACATGCCTGGGGGACGGGGCAGAGATGGACCAACATGACCACAAAGGCCTCAAAATTTACACTGACGGCAGTAAGATCGAGGGGAAAGTCGGCGCTGCATTATCCATTTGGAATGATGCAGTGGAGACGAGTAGCCGAAAACTAAAGTTGGAAAATTTCTGCACCGTTTTCCAGGCTGAATTGCTCGCCATTCGAGAAGCAAGCAGGTACGCGTTATATCATCCGGCACAAAGCTGTCATATATACAGCGACTCAATGTCTGCTCTCCAGACAGTAGTACAAGGCGTTTCCCTCCATCCCCTAGCAGCAGAGACCAGGACGAACATCAGTCAAATAAACAAACAAGGGAAATCCCTCAAACTATTTTGGATTAAAGCTCACGCAGGATTGGAGGGAAACGAGAGAGCAGACGAACTAGCTAAAGAAGCCGCCCTTAAAATAAAAAAGAAGGCCAGACTACGATAAGTGTCCGGTTTCATTTGTTAAGCGACAGATTCGACTGGATTCGCTTGACGAATGGAACCGAAGATACATTGAAGGAGAAACAGCCTCCACTACCAAATAGTTTTTCCCCAATATTATCAATGCCTATTCTGTAATAAGGAACATAGATATGGATCCGCAAATTGTACAGTTGATGACAGGACATGGTGGGTTTTCTGAATATCTATATCGGTTTAAATGTAAAGAGAGCCCATCATGCGCCTGTGAGCCAACAATAGAGGAGACAGTCATCCACCTAATAACGGAATGCCCTATATACTGTAGAGAAAGAGTAGATTTAGAACTAGAGATAGAAATTAAAATAATCAAAGAAAATTTATATAAAATAATTAGTAATAAATATGTAAGAAAAAAGTTTTTAAGGTATTGTAAGAATATAGTACATAAGGTAGTAAATAAGAATAAATAATAGTAGTAATAAGGGAAAACTGAATCATAATATATACAAATATATAATGTTAACAGCCCACAAAACAAGTAAAAATAATAAATAGAAAAGTAATATATGTACTTAGAATTAAGTAGATAATAAAAAAGAAATAAAGAGAAAAATAAATTATAGAAATTTAATATAGTTTAATATGACGAATATTTTTAATTTGATAAATATGCCCAATGACTATTGTTGATTATTATTACCTCTATTATTTACTAAAATATGTAACTTGAACTGATTATTAATTCAATTATTATTTGAGACTTAACAATCATGTGTTAATATAAAGGAATTTATAAGTAAGAGATTTAATATATTGTTGTTGCGTGTATTAGGTAAAGAGTAGTAGGACTCCCGAACGAAAACCCGGAGTCCTCTACACCCTCTATAAAACAAAAAGGACAAAGTAAATAAAAAACATGAAATAAAGTCCATGTCGAGCTGACAATGTCTCTGACCTACATGTCAGAGGAAAGCAGCAAAACATACATAAAAAAAAAAAAACCTAACCTAACCTAACCTAACCTAACCTGGGACAATATATCAAGGAGCTCTGTGTCATATTGTTAAGACTTGGTTTACCAAACTAATGAAACAGGAACACCAGGTAATCTCGATAGCAAAAAAAATGTTAAAGTGGCACAATACAACCTTGATTGAGGCCGCGCGGCAACACTTGAGTGCTTACGGGCTGCAACCACACAAGGCTTTTCCATCATATTGATGCAGGAACCTTATGTTGGGACAAAGGCACACTTAACTGTGGGCCCGCAATACCGTGTAATCCAAAAAGTTAGTAATGACATCAATAAGCCAGTGAGATCTGCAATAGTTGTCTTAGACCCTAACATTAACTTCACCATTAACCCAAACATACTAACCGAAGACATCGTAGGTATAGTACTAAAAATAGGTAATCTTAACATTGGCTTCGTCAGCATCTACTTGCATGAAAAAGGCGTAATTGAAGAAGACTTAATAACGATTAAGAATTTTGTGAAAGCAATGCAGACAGAAGATATTATCATCGGTGGCGATGCAACTGCCAGTAGCATCTGGTGGGGCTGCAAAGCAGATGACAACAGAGGAACACAGGTTATGGAAACATTAGCTGAACTTAACTTGGAGGTAGTTAATACGGGAAAAAAGCCTACTTTTAGTGCATACAGAAGAGACACCCTCTGCTCTAGCATTATAGACATTACCGCCTGTACAACATCACTATTGCATAAGATTGAGAATTGGAGAGTTGACGATTCCTTTTGTACTTTATCTAATCATAAGCCAATTCTTTTCAAATTTAGTACGACAACTTCATTTATTGAGTCAAAAATCAACAGCACCAGGAAATACAACACAAGGAAAGCAAACTGGAGCCATTTCAACGTTGAACTCAAGAGGGCACTAGACAACAACGGTCTAACCAAAGAAAGAATAGGAGTTATTAGGACGACACAGGAGATTGATGAATTCGTAAAAACATATACAGAATGCATAACAAGGGCATTCGATGAGACGATTCCGAAAATAGAACGAAAACAGTTACCAAAAGCCGCTAAATGGTGGAACACCGAAATTAAAGAAAAAAAGGAGATCATGATCAGATTACGAAGAAGAATAAGGAATGCACACCCTACAAGAAAGAACTGGGTCATAGAACAATATCTCGAAGCACGAAAACAATATAAGGAAAGTATAGAAGACGCCACAACCAAAAGCTGGAAAGAACTATGCACGAACGAGCAGAAAGAAAACGTGTGGCAACGCACATATCGGATATTGAAGGTCTGTTCTAATGTGGAGGGAGACAAACTGCTCAAAGACCAAAATGGGACAATCCGTTCAGAAAAAGGGTCAGCAACACTTCTAGCTGAAACCTTTTACCCCAAAGATAATCCAAACACCGATACTAAGGAACAGGATGACATAAGAACAAAAACAAATGAACTTATAGCACAACTCGAAAACAAAGCATTAGAAGTTAAGACACCATTCGCTAGAACTGAAATAAATCAAATACTAAGCAACATGAGTACTAAAAAAGCCCCGGGTATGGATGGCCTGACATCCGATATATGCCAAACAGCTTATAATAGTAACCCAGAAGTGCTGGAACTACTCTACAATAAGTGCCTCGAACTGGGATATTTCCCCAAAGATTGGAAAAAGGCAACTATTAAAGTAATCCCAAAACCCAGTAAAGAAGATTATACCAATCCAAAGGCATACAGACCCATTGGCTTGCTACCAGTACTGGGTAAAATACTGGAAAAACTTTTTACGAATAGAATCCAGTGGCAGTTAGGAAAAGACGAAAAATTGAACCAGAGACAATATGGATTCACTCCACAGAGAAGCACGGAGGATGCGCTATATGATACTATTACACTAATTAAGAATGGACTTAAGAAGAAAGAAATAGTCATACTAGTGTCATTAGATATTGAGGGCGCATTCGATAATGCATGGTGGCCTGCTATTATCACTGAACTTAAAAACAAACAGGTTGAACCTATGGTGTTAAGACTCATAATTAGCTACTTATCAGATCGTGAAATAAACTTAAGTTACGCAAACGAAAAGATCACTATAAAAACCAATAAAGGATGTATTCAAGGATCAACTTGCGGTCCCATGCTGTGGAATATCCAACTTGATCCCCTATTACAGGCAACGGAAAACGCGGGAGCTCACGTTCAAGCCTTTGCGGACGACATCTTAATAATAGCCTCGAACAAAGATGGCCAAAAACTTGAAAAGGATGTTAATGATACACTTAAAACAATAGTAGAGTGGGGACAAAGACACAAGCTTAAATTTGCCCCACATAAGACTCAAAGTACAATAATTACCAAAAAGCATAAATTCCATTGTCCCAAACTGCTAATGGATGGTGTAACCTTAACGTATATAGATCAAAGCAAAATTTTAGGATTAATTATTGATAAAAACTTTAACTTTAAGCCACATTTAGATTATGTTTGCAGTAAAGCAGTTCGACTCTACAAGATGGTATCAAGAGCAGCAAGAGCGCAATGGGGTCTCAACTCGGACATAGTAAGAACCATCTACCAGGCTGTAGTTGAACCAACTATTTTGTATGCTGCGAGCTGCTGGGCAGAAGCCACAAATAAAAAATACATAAGCCGAATGCTCAATAGGCTTACACGAATGTTTAGCATTCGTATTTGCAAAGGCCATAAAACCATTTCCCTTGTTTCCAGTGCGCTACTAGCTCAGATTATACCTCTAGCGCTACGAGCCAAGGAAAACGCCGAATTGTACGAAATCAAAAGAGGCAAGCCCATTGAGTCACTCCCTGGGAGACAATTGGAAATGAGAATCAGTCCTTTCCACTTACCACACCCCTCACTAAGAACCAGGAGGGAGTACAAGCTAATAACCTGCCAAGAAGACATCGATCAAATTGACAATGACTGGCCAAAGCTTTATACAGACGGCAGTAAAATAGACAATAAGGTAGGTGCGGCTGTTTCAGTATGGCAAAATGGAACGGAAACCAAAACCATCACCTGTAGGCTCGAAAGCTACTGCAGCGTATACCAAGCCGAGCTAATTGCAATTTTGAAGGCAGTTACATATATGTTAGAAAAGAAAAACCTTAAAGCCAACATCCTTAGTGACTCTAGATCAGCAGTAATAACTCTTTGTAATCCTACGTCACTTAATCCTATTGCAGCTGAAATTTCATCGAAGCTCAATACTATCGAAAATAAAGAGGGAAAAGTCCAGATATACTGGATAAAAGCTCATTGTGGCTTAGTAGGTAATGAGAGAGCAGATGAGCTGGCTAAATATGCCGCTACTAGCAAAAAACAGAGGGCAATTTATGACTTATTCCCATTGTCTTACGCCAAGCACCTCACCAGGAGCAACACTCTGCTAAGATGGCAAATCAAATATGAAGAAGCAGCAACCAGTGGAACCATAAGAACTTTCTTCCCAAATGTTATAACTGCTTATAAGATTTTAAAAAGTATAAAAATAACTAATATTGTAACTCAATTGTTTACCGGTCACGGTGGTAATAAAGCTTATCTTTTTAGATTTAAGATTTTGCCATCCCCATATTGCACATGCGATGATAGTACAGAACAAACCATAGAACATTTAATTACAGAATGTCCGCGATTTGGAAAACAACGGTATGAGTGTGAATGCAATATGGGAGTGAATATAGTATGTAAGAACTTAAGTACTATTATGACGGACATCGATTGCAGATCTCACTTCATACACTTTGCTCTCTCAATACTTAAGGTTATTAACAAAGAGAATGGGAGCACTATAGTAGAATAAATTTATGTCTCTGTAAGTCCCTACAATAAAACCATTATGAGTGTGAATTTAACTAAAGTAATAATAATGAACTAATAATAATATGATATAAGCATACATTTTGATAACGTTAGGCTAATAATAACTTGCAAGTAGTAGAATGTTTAAAAATAAGCTAAAACGGATTATCTTAACAATTGTTATTAAATAGGATAAATAAGTGTAGATAAACTGTACAAAGTAACAAAGCAATAACCATTATAACCGGAACACTATTCTTAAAAATAATTGCAAGTTAGTTTAAACAAAGCCTCATGTTAAGAATTAAGAATATTATTAAAATTAGGCCCAAAACAAAAGTACATTATTTATTTAAGGTGATATTATTGTAAAATTAGGAATTATTCATAAGAGACAAATTAAAAGATACAAAGTAATAACATTATAAAGTCTGAAACAGTATACCTATACATAGAACTATATTCAGAATTGTTATAAAATTAGATTAATTATAGAAGATGATATTATGATAACTGTAAAAGGAACATGTAATAGTATATTGAAACAATGTGTAAACGGAACGGAACTATTTCAGTATATATATATATATATATATATATATATATATATATATATATATATATATATATATATATATATATATATATATATATATATATATATATATATATATATATATAATATATTTAAAAAAAAAACATTGATAACAGTAAAAAAAGGATTATCTTCAACAGAAAGAAAGGTACTGCAGAAAAGCAGTAGTAAAATAGTATTTAAAAAAAAAAAAAAAAAAAAAAAAAAAACCTAACCTAACCTAACCTAACCTAACCTAACCTAACCTAACCTAACCTAACCTAACCTAACCTAACCTAACCTAACCTACCTAACCTAACCTAACCTCACCTACCTAACCTAACCTAACCTAACCTAACCTAACCTAACCTAACCTAACTTAACCTAACCTAACCTAACCTAACCTAACCTAACCTAACCTAACCTAACCTAACCAGTCCGGTGTCAACTGCCGTCCCGAACGCCACGTTTCTGAGTTGCTCCGCGCTGAAAAATTCGTTAAAATAGGTTTTTTACGTCCGATTTTTGTGTGCTATACACCAAAAGACGCGTCTTAACTCGCGGCATAAAGTCGTGCAATTTTATTTTAAATCGGAGTGAAAGTGAAAAAGTTAAAGTGAAAAAAAAGTGAATTTTGGAAAATTGCAAATCTTAAAAGTGAAACGCTGAGTGATTAAGCACGGTTACCCATGTTTATTAAAGTGTGGCCTTGAAGCTATTCACGGCCCCTACATATGTGCAAAATTAATATATAATATATAAATATGTGGGAATTTTCTGAGCGATAGTCTCAGAGAAAAAGCCAAAAAAACAAGTGCCACGTGGGCACGTGTTTCGAGAAGGAAAATCGTGCGGCTATTTTTGGAGTCGCAATCTCGTAGCCAGCGTGGAGAGCAGCCGGGAGCAAATTCCAGAACTCTGATAAGTTAAGTGGCTGCGGAGTAATTGAACTTTTAAATTTTGTGAAATTTTTAAAATTTAATATTTTAAAATCTAAAGCGAAGACCCGTAGTTTTTATTATTAAATAGTGTTAAGGTTAATATAAGATAGGTATACAAAAATTTTCAGATTTTTATCGTAAGTAGTTTTTAAGAAAGGATTTTTTAAATTAATTTTATGACCACGTGTTTCCTTATATAACGTGTTATGTGGTATAAAAATATATGTATCTAATAAAGATACCTTTAGTATCTTATATAAATTTTTGTGAAATTTTAAAACTAAATTTGGGCCTTAAAAATTGAAATTCTCTAAAAAATTTCACAAATTTTGTTAGAAATTTAATTAAAGGGGGCTTAATACGCTAAATTACATATTTCACTGTTATATTGACACCGAGACCTTTTAAATGAGCCCAAACACGGGCCAAATCGGTTAAAAGGCGCCCGAAATAATTTCTTGTGGTCTAAACTGGCGGCCATTTTGGAAATATTTAAACTGATATAACTCATGACCTAGAAGTCGTAGAGAGTTCCAGTTTTCAAGGTGGAGCTTAGGGCGACGGCTTCTATCCGCTTTTATACTTTTTAAGCGTTTTGGAGCTGAGGGGTTTCGGGTCATTGAGGGGTACCTGAAACGATAGAGTGGGCGAGGACAAGCCTATTGAGCCCAAACACGAGCGTTCTACGACCACTGGAAGGAAAATTGTTCGGGGTCGAAGATTGATTTTTGACAGTTCTTGAACCGTCAGACTAGACTTCGGACGCCGATAATATCCGAACCGAAGGTCGTGGAAGGCTCTGGTTTTCTCTTGGGACAAAGGCAGCATCTCCGCTATCCCATTAGCAACCTTTCAGGAATTTTCAGGGCCTGAAATTTATTCAGTCTAAACCCTCAGCAAGTTGTAGAGCTCGTCGAGCCCAGTTGGGAGATCCCAAGCACGGCAGGTTTTGGACGAGTGGTCGCGGAGAAACCGCTTGTAACCGGATTCTGGTGGCCATCTTGGATCGGCGACCAGAAATTTGGGCTGCTGTTTCTGCGGGACCCCTGGGGCTGGGACAGTCGTGTTTGGGTTTAAACGGAAGGGCTCGGGGAGATCTACAACTGCATTTACTTAGATTGACTCTAGGTAGAGTCGAAAAATTTTAAAATTTTATTTTGACCAAAATTGGCTCCTGAAGGCTCACAAGCCTTAGATTTATCCCCTTTACCTTCGCAAGGTAAAAATAACTTGGTAGAGCAGGACTCTACTTCATTTTTATTTTTAATTTTATAAGATAGGTAAAATTTTTATTTTATTTTATATTTGACAAAGACCCCCCTTTACAGGGTCTAGCAAATATTTTATAAAGGGACAATTTTCCCCGATACATTCGCAATAATTCACATAAATTACACAACACACCGCACCCATACACACTCACACAAGAAATATGTACCGCACACCCACGACCTCTGGCGCTGCCAAAAAGCCCACCACCCCCAGCCCTGCCACCAAAACCTCAGCAGCACAGGACGCTGCTAGGACATTTATTAAAAGACCGGAAGCCAAAAGGAGATCACTCGACAACATGGAAATCTATAAAAAGCAGAAACAGAACTACGCTGCATTATCGAGTGATCAGCTCCTCCAGGAAATGATGAAAACCTTCGAGGACATACCCTCGAAAGTCCAGGAGTACCCTCAGATGAGGAAAGACATTAAACTATTCCTGGAGGTCCAATCAGACAAGGGCATAAGAGCAATCTTCGAGCTCAGCAGGCGCATAAAAAATCTGGAAACAGAGGTCCCAAAACTAGGGACACCAACAAAAACCTCTTTGTCCGAAGAGCAAGATACAATCCTTAAGAAACTGGGAGAGGTGGAAGCGGCACTGACCGAGCGCATAGATGAGATGGAGCGAAGTCTGAAAACGGACATAAAAGGACTCAATAATAACAACGATGACCGAGGCTCCGACATGATCGACAAGATCATCGACAGGATCGACGAGACCAGAGCTGCCGTAGACCAAACGGCCGAAAAGGCCGAGAGTCGAACGCAGGCTCTCCTTAAAGATCTTGCCGGTGGTATTACCGATGATGTCGTCGCAGCCAAAAAAGAATTCATTGAGGTTGCAAAAGGACTGGCATGCGGACTAAATATAGCCCCAGTCCCTAGGACATACGCCAGCGTCGTAGCTGCCAAACCAGCCCACCGCCCCGCACTTCACTCAATGGCGGTCACCTACGAAGGTGGTCTGGAGACTGCTGACGAGGTGCTCGCCAGAGTGAAAAAAGCGGTCGACGCTAGAGGCACTGGCCTTAAAATTAACAAGGTTCGTAAGGCCAAGAACCAAACAGTAATATTGGGTTGCGACACAGAAGAGGAGATGAAAAAAGTTCAAGAAATTATAGAGAGTCGCGGGGACGGACTGAAAGTAGCGCCTATGAGAAATAAAAATCCACTCGTTGTCCTTAAAGATGTGTTTTTAGATAGCGAAGACGATGATATGATTAAGACGCTCTACGCTCAGAATAAGGACATTTTCGTGGGCCTACCAGAAGAAGATAAGGAAATGGTGGTAAAATTTAAAAAACGCACACGAAATCCCAAGACATTGCACATAATCCTACAGGTGAAGCCTAACGTATGGCAGAGGATGACGGAAGCTGGAGCCCTCTATCTGGACCTCCAAAGGGTCAGAGTCGAGGACCAGTCTCCGCTCATCCAATGCACGAAGTGCCTCGCATTCGGCCATGGTCGGAAATTTTGCACCGATAGTGTGGACAAATGTAGTCACTGTGGAGGACCGCATCTGCGCGAGAAATGCGCAGACTTTACCGCAGGAAATGAACCGCAGTGCTGCAATTGCTCACACTCTGGGTTGCGGAAGACCGACCACAATGCGTTTAGTGCTGACTGCCCGGTACGCAAAAAGTGGGACTACCTGGCTCGTGCAAACACAGCCTATGCCTGATCCATACACAGGACATCACATAACACGTACACACAACCACAAAGCACACAGAAACATAAACACGACACATACAAACACGAAATACATGGCAAAACGAACACAACTGATATACAGAATGTATATTAAATATATACACGATTATATCAGCACAGGACCACATACATACACCACAAACAGTAACACAAAACAAAAGAAAAAACAGTACGAAATGAAATTGCCAAAAGAAATGGACAATAAATATGTATAAGTTATTATATATATGTTATTGCCCAGATAAAAGCGTTTTTAAAAAATATAAAAGAAAGCACAAAACACATGCAACAAAACAGAAACTCACTAATCCTGCTGAATGTACTACTGTAAAGATCTGGTAAAATTGTAAACTGCAAATTAATGATTATATAAACATATTATGTTCTTACTGTTGTACAAATAACAATTATAAGTATAGAATTAAGAAACTGTAATAGAATGTTAGAAATAAGACAATAGAGAATATTAGGTATATAATGAAGTTAGATCTATAAATTTAAAAATAGAACTAAGAAATAGGAAACGTAGGAACTAAGAAATATAATGATAAGTAAAATAGTTAAAAGAAAGTACAATAGTTGTAAGTTAATAAATATGTAAAATTAGGAAATTTGTAAATTGAATAAAAATAAGTATGTAGAAATTATAAGACGCTAAGTATAAATAATATTGTAACTAAACAGAAAATAAAATAAAGTGTAAGAAACCTTATTTTCCCGAATAAATTAAAAATAAGCATAGAGTTGCGGGAGTCCCATCCGGCAAAGAATGAGCGTGGATGGACAAAAGAAAGATTAAGTATGCGGCCTGAAAGTGTGAATATATGCGAGAACTGGAATGTATGAGTAATATAGATTAATAAGGACCCGATGATCCCATGATCGGGAAAAGCATTAAAAAAAAAAAAAAACAACAACCTAA